ATATCATTATTCACTCATTGCACTGATGAGTGTCACTTCAAGTCAGAGGAGAGACTTCAGGGAACGATGAGTGTTCAGGTTGTTCTTGATGGATGTGTTTCTCCTGGAACTCCTGCAGTTACTGCCAGCCAGATGGAGCTCTCTGCCTCTCAGAGAGGTACTCTGAATGCTCCTGGTGGAAACCTCAACATCAGCACCATGCCCATCACTTTCTATGGAAAAACATACATATGGTTACACGTGAGTACAATGAACCCCTGCCTGTGTTTCCTGTGATCATCCAGCACACACACTGACTGCTGATGACTGGTATTATTACACATACTACACGTACAACACATATTACACATACTACACATACCGCACGTACTACACATACTACAAGTACTACACATATTACACATAATAAAGGTATTATAGATATTACACATAACTCACTGTTTAATATGTTATAACTCACTGTTTAATATGTACTAACTCACTGTTTAATATGTACTAACTCACTGTTTAATATGTACTAACTCACAGTCCTCAGAATCAGTCCCTAGTGTGTTTGTCTTGATCTTATTTATATATAGATGTAAGCGGTTTGTTACCTTTCAGCGTGTCAGCCTGTAAATATGGGAGCAAATGAATAATGACATGTTGCTAAAGGCAGAGAATGAATTGAGTATTACACACAAAGTTTAAAGTGTGTGCTTTTTGTGCCAGCTGTTATTTTGGCTATTATAAAATGTTCCCCTCATATTATTCAATATCAGACGCACTGATGCCCCTTTCACACCAATGCGGTTCCAGGGCCGGCTAGAGCCTGATAAGCACAGTTTTTTCCTGTTCACACCGCAGCGGAGCCGGCTCTTTTCCCCGAAAACCGGTTCTTACCAAGCACCAAAAAATTGTCGGTCTAGAAGCAAGAACCGCATACGTCACGCTTATGTCAGAGGGGGGTGTGATTAACCTGAGCTAACAGTTTACGAGAGTAGCGCAGAGCAAAGTGACTAGAACGCAATCACACACTTATAAAAAAAACACACTTTATAAAGTCAGGCAACACTAACCAGGCTTAGTCTGATTCTGTTTATTTGTACCTTACTTTAACCATCCGTTCACTGTTATTGATCATTGTGGAGAGCAGGCAGACGTTTTGTTTTGTATTATAGCAGCTATCGGATGGAATCAATACATGGGCTGCACAGGTTGTCATGTCCGACTATCACAAGTAGAATCATAATGAAAAATACGCCGGTAAAATGTGCCTGTAGAAAATGGCTTATGCCACAATAGGATAGCAACAAATAGTCAAGATAGTCAGTTTAGCTTTGGTTGCTATGCTAACATCAACCATTTTATACCAGAGAAACTTTCATAATAGCGTTGGGATGCCAAACACTGCAGCGGTCGGTAAATGCCGCTGAAATACATTAATAAACAATTAACCACGGCACTCTGGAGAAAAGTATAAGGTTGGAGAAGTCGTTATTTAATGTAATCTGGCTTCGTATGATTAAAAGCAATACGATCATCGACCTGACGCAGTCCCCCCTTGTTGTTGTGAGTGCCGTTGGGGAGAAAATCAGCGACGTAAACGGTGACGTCATGACGCAGCAGCGGCAGCACCAGTCGGGCTCTGGGCGGTGTGAACAAAACGGGGGCTGAAAAGAAAAAACGGTTCCGAACCAGAAGAGCGTAAGAGGAGCTACAACGGGAACCGCGTTGGTGTGAAAGGGGCAACAAACAGGCTTGGTACCATAATGCATCACTGTGAGTCTGATCCTGAGCTGGAAGGTGAGCGTAACATTTCCCTCTGGGGTCTATGGGGTCTATGGGGTCAGGCACTGATCAGATCAGTTCAATGGAGTGGGGACAGATCATTACTAGAGCCAACAGGAAGTGGTTTGGAGCAGCTGGACGCGTCTCTTTGATTCCACATGTGTCTCTGTATGAAAGGAGACATAAAGACTTGTTGGACAGTGGCTTGTAGAAAGGTTTTTTCCAAAGTGAGAGAAATGTTTTGATCTCATAATTGATCCTATCTTTTTTCTCCGTAGCTCAAAGCACACCTTGCAGCTCAGACATTTGAGGAGATGAAACGATGCTGTTTTGGAGCGAAAGCCTTCATATTGTTGTTCCTTTTTTTGTTTTTGCAGGTCAAGATTGGCAATAAGAATGAAGTTTGTTTAAAAAATGACCCATCTGAGGACGACATTGACTGTCTGGTGACCAACGAGGTGGCTTCAACCAAACTGAGGTACACTATGGTTGTTTTGACATTTCCCCCTAACTATTATCTTTCTAACATCAAAACCCAGGGACTGGGTGTCGTTGCTCTCAAGTTCTTCACTGGTGCTACATTGAATGTGAGTCCTGATCCGATCCCTGTTACACACTGACTGGCTGTCCAGCTGTTTGTACAAAATGAACATTTCAAAGACATTGTGTGGCAAAGACAACTTCAAATCAAAGTTTATTTGTAAAATGTTGGAAGCATTTCCTAATATTTCTCTCTCTGTTCCTGCTTTCAGATGAAGTGGTCATTCTACAATTATGGTTTGCAAGCTGCTTGCCATACAGCTCATCCTGTTGGCCTTCCGTTTTCTGATAGTTTAGTAAGTATGACATGAGGCTGTTACCTAACCCTAACCCTTCAGCCTCACCGATGTTTAGAGTTACCATTTGTCAGGTCCCGATACCAAAGTAGTGTTACCAATCCCGCTTCAATCTCATTAGTATGCATAAAAAAGTGACAGGTCACACCTTCTAAGTCCCGCCCCCTAATTATGCTAATGAGCCCCTTTGATATGCTAATGAGCCCCTTTGATATGCTAATGAGCCCCTTTGTTCGAGGTGTTATCGCGTATAGGTGTTACATCCCCCCGGTAGCCCCCACCCCCCTCAGCCAGCCCCCCTCCCCCTCACATACAGGTGTTACATCCTCACCGGTAGCCCCCACCCTTCTCAGCCCCCACCCTTCTCAGCCCCCACCCGCCCAGCCCCCACCCCTCTCAACCCACCCCCTCCTTACAGCAGGTTTCACATCCCCCCTGTCGCCCCCCCCCCCCCCTCCTCAGCCCCCATCCCTCTCAACCCCCTCCTCCTCCCCCCCTCCTGTCCGGTCGGCATGTTCGTTACAGTTTAAATCTTCCGAGGCAGAATTAGAAAAGTGCCGGTTAAAGGTCTTCTATGTTATTTAATGAGCTTTGAAACAAACTGATATGATTCGATATTAAACCAACTAATTATAGTAGATTAATTAACTATTCAAAAACGTGTACAGTAATTTACAATAACACGGGAATAATAAACGGACTGCTCTCCCCCTCCTGACAACACGACAGTATCAAAGTCGCGGGTCCAATAATGAGTGACTCGACAGTAAAACTAAAACATATCTATAAATAGTTTAGGTAGTTTGAGAGGTAAATAAAATAGCTACGTGTGATATCTGAAGAGTGTGTTTTGTTCCGCTCACCGCATGCAGAGATGCATGTCGAATAGTCCGCAGCATCGGATCTCCCCCTGTCAGCAACAGCGGGTCTCCCCCGTCAGATTAGACTTTACTAGCGTTTATGTCCATGCGCAAACAGCCCCTACAGGACATCTTTTGTCTGTCACACACACTATTCTTGTATGTCGCATAAGTGGTGTAGCTGATGCTGTATTGCTCTAAAGGGGATATCATTCTGAGAGATTTCCCTCCACACACACACACACACACACACACACACACACACACACACACACACACACACACACACACACACACACACACACACACATACCCGTATTCCCCTCCTACCCAGCCTTTTTTTATTTTAAATAAGAGTTGGGTTAATAACTAAGGAGGCTCTCTTGAAGTGTACGGATGGTGAACTAATGTTTAATTACTATACTAACTATAAGGGCCTCTCTTATAGAAAGGAGGGGTAATCTGGTAATAAATGCAACAAAGTCTCTATGAAGAGGTTGGCAATAAATTAAAGATCTTAATGATCCTGGGGTATTTTGGTTTTTTCTTTATGTTTAATTACATCACCCCTTAATAAAATAATCCTTATATGAAGTTATATGAGATTAGAAGTAGCTGTAGGTTTGGAGGAAAGAGAAGATTTATTTTGTATTTTTTTAAATGTGCTCACCATAGATGTTAGCTGTAAAAAACACTTAAGAATGCATAGACCTGGAGGTGTGACCCAGGATGGCTCCATCCATTTCATCCCCCACACATACACACACACACACACACACACACACACACACACACACACACACACACACACACACACACACACACACACACACACACACACACACACACACACACACACACACACACACACATACCCGTATTCCCCTCCTACCCTGCTTTTTTTTAATTTTAAATAAGAGTTGGGTTAATAACTAAGGAGGCTCTCTTGAAGTGTACGGATGGTGAACTAATGTTTAATTACTATACTAACTATAAGGGCCTCTCTTATAGAAAGGAGGGGTAATCTGGTAATAAATGCAACAAAGTCTCTCTGAAGAGGTTGGCAATAAATTAAAGATCTTAATGATCCTGGGGTATTTTGGTTTTTTCTTTATGTTTAATTACATCACCCCTTAATAAAATAATCCTTATATGAAGTTATATGAGATTAGAAGTAGCTGTAGGTTTGGAGGAAAGAGAAGATTTATTTTTTATTTTTTAAATGTGCTCACCACAGATGTTAGCTGTAAAAAACACTTAAGAATGCATAGACCTGGAGGTGTGACCCAAGATGGCTCCATCCATTTCATCCCCCACACACACACACACACACACACACACACACACACACACACACACACACACACACACACACACACACACACACACACACACACACACACACACACACACACACACACACACACACACACACACACACACACACACACACACACACACAGACCGTCTTTTTTTAAATATGAGAGGGGTTAATAACTAAGTATGTTCTTTTGAATTGTACGGATGGTGAACTAATGTTTAATTACTATACTAACTTTAGGGGCCTCTCTTATTGAAAAGAGGGGTAATCTGGTATTAAATGTAACAAAGTCTCTCTGAAGAGGTTGGCAATAAATTAAAGATCTTAATGATCCTGGGGTATTTTGGTTTTTTCTTTATGTTTAATTACATCACCCATTAATAAAATAATCCTTATATGAAGTTATATGAGATTAGAAGTAGCTGCAGGTATGGAGGAAAGAGAAGATTTTTTAAAAGGTCCTGCTATTTCATTATGAATCGGCTCCTTAAGGTCTGATCAACACAGAGGTTAGCTGTAAAAAAACACTTAAGAATGCACAGACTTGAGAGTTTTAAGAAATCACTGACAGACAACACATGTTAAATTAATAATACCATTCCGATTGGTTCCCCACTTTTTCTGGGGCCTATTGACATGCTTATTTGCAATACAGCTATTTAAGGTGAGCACATTTTCACAAGAACAGACCGCATGACCTTCTGGAGAGAATGAGACCTGATTTGGATCTGATCTGGAAAAAAGCACTGGTAAGTACTTTTATATTTTATAATATCATGTAATTATCCATTCATTAATTTTGGGGTGAAGACATGGCCTGGTTTTAGGTTTTAAGGGTTAGGCATGTGTTTTGGTTTTTGACTAAGGTTATAATAAGTCTCCAGGAAATGCATGTAAGTCAATGTATTGTGTGTGTGTGTGTGTGTGTGTGTGTGTGTGTGTGTGTGTGTGTGTGTGTGTGTGTGTGTGTGTGTGTGTGTGTGTGTGTGTGTGTTTTGGCTTATTTAAATTAAAATCAAAATATGGTTTTTATTCATTTTTTACCTGATGTATAAATTGTCCATAGTAACGTTTTATATACCTGCTCTTTTGCTACAAGGTAATGGAATCTACAGCATAAGCCATTCATCGGTAAAACAACGGGGGGAGAGATCTCTGACGTGTGAAATCGAGGGTGTCCCCAGTCCCAGATAGGAGCATCCCTCTACCTCTGTCACGCCACGTTCGGGGCGACCCCCAACACCACTGTAGTCTGAGCGCCAGGCATATTTTTGAGCTTCTCAGTGTGGCCTAGAACAGCTCTGGATGACCCCATCCCAAACACACTCCAAACGAGGTGCCATACAGGTAAATTACTTGTGGTTATTTTTATAAGATGATCGCTAAATGATTTATTGTTAAATATAATATTTCAGTGTTTCAAATACTTACCCCCTCTTTTTTACCTCTCTGTCTCTTTTCTGTACAGATCTGCCTCGCGAGCACAGCGCTGCGACCGTCAACTTTATGGTTACACCAACTGAATAAGCTGGAGGCGTTTGATAGCGGTGTGGTTTTCTTCAGCAGTGAGAAATGTATTTTTGATTTCCTTTCTATTTTCTTGTGATGGGATGATTTCATAAACGGTCAAACATGGGTGATTTAGCAGCTACAGAAACGTCGTTTCTGCATTGTTTGAATGATATAATCCCCCTAAGCGAAAATGAATACATATATAGTGAAATGTCATTTCCTCAGTGTTCAAACAATATTAGCGAATTGAATGACGAAGAACTAGATGTAAACGACCATTCCTCCCCCTCGGAAACAAACTCATGCTATCCACCAACATTAGATAGCGCACTGGAAGTAGTTTTAGACAGCCACCAAAACTATGAAGCAGACCTTGTGGTTTTAAATCAGCACGCAGACAAAGTACCTCTGTCTTCAGTTCTAACTCCTAACGATGAAGCAGACGTTATATATGATTCAACAGATAGAGAAACGTCATTTAATCAATGTTTGAATAATATAAGTGGCCTAAGCGATGATGATTATACGTATGATGAAATGTCATTTCCTCAGTGTTCAGACAATATTAACGATCTAAGTTATGACGAGCTAGTTGTAAACGAACCTACCAACCCCTCAGAAACAAACTCTAGCTATCCAATAACATTTGATGGCATTCTGGAATGGGTGTTAGATTGCTACCAAAACTCTGACGCATATCCTGGTCTGGTGCATTTAAATCAGCTCGCAGACGAAGTCCGTGTGTCAAATAATGTTAGCGAGGCCCCCGTTAATGCTGAATCAGCAGCTTCCTCTGTGGAAGATGGCGGGTACATTGACGACAGTATGGATGGTTCAGAAGCACTAGCTTCCTCAGTGGAATACGGTGGTTACATCGGCGACGACGATAGCATAGATGGTTCAGAAGCACTAGTTTCCTCAGTGGAATACGGCGGATACATTGATGACGATAGCATGGATGTTTCAGAAGCATCAGTTTCCTCTGTGCAAACCGGTGGATACATTATCGACGATGACAGTATGGATGCTTCAGAAGCAGCAGTGTCCCCCGTGCAAAACGGTGTACACAATGATCAAAACAGCATCCCGAATGCTCCCGAGGTAGCAGGCCCGTCGTTACAAAATGGTGGAAATGCTAATGACAGTCGGAATGCTTCAACACGTGTTGTGTCTCGACCTGTATTCAATAACATAGAACTGAGTCAGTCTTTAGTCCTACCCCGTCCTAGCGCCGAGGCAGATTACACATCGTATCACGTTAGTATGATGGCCAGTGTACATGAGATGCTGGATGAGGCTTTTTTACTAACAAATAGGGAAGATCTTGTACAGATTGAGTTAAGGGGGGAGCAACTGCAAGGTAACGTGTCAGCCATTTTGAATGCCAACCACGACAGTAATCTGAATGATTTTGATGAAGCGCTCTTCAACGCAGTGCAGTCAAATTGGGCTGTAATGGCAGATAGCGATCTTGAATTAGTGGTGCAAATTGTTCAATCCCCTCGGGGTGGTGGGGAGAAACGATTGGCTGGTAAAATGTTGGACAATGAAATTGTTAAAAAGAAGAAGCGTTTTCTTTACATTGTTCACAACCCCGTCAACCAGCTGTGTTTTGCTATTAATTTAGCACTGTTGCTGCATGACAACCTCACTGATAACGAAGGTTTTGAACGCGGTAGAGAGATTCAGAGGGGGGTGGGTTTGACAGACCAGACAGCGGTGACATTCACTGACATTGAGAAATTCGAAGAGAGTTTAAAATGCAAGATTGTGGTTTTTTACAGAGGCGATGGAGATCGGACCCTCTGTAAATTCCAGACAGACGGTCCCAAAAGAGATAAAACTGTGTTTTTATTTCTCCTCGAAAACCATTACTATGGGATTAAGAACTTGAAGGGTTTTCTAGGCGCCTCCTTTGTCTGTGAACACTGCTACACCGGCTACAACTCACGATGGTTTCATTCATGTAAAGGCCATTGTTTTGTCTGTCTTGACCCCTCATGTACTCTGGATGAGTTTAAACCCATCTTTTGTAAAGACTGTAACAAAACTTGCCGTACGGTCGGCTGTCATGCTCGACATAAAAAACAGACACAGAGAGCATCAGCCATTGCCAGTAACTGCGATTTACACAAAAAGTGTGTAGATTGTCAACTTTCTTACTACATTCCCAAGAGTAGTGCAGATAAAACACACAAGTGTATGGTGAAAAAATGTAAGATATGTAACGAAAAGCTGCCCTCTGCTTCAACAGGCGAGTGTGTAGAACATCAGTGTTACATTGGTGTGTTACCCCAAGAGACAGAGCACAACGACCACATCGTGTTTTATGATTTTGAAACAATGGCGGGGGCAGACGGTGTACATGTCCCCTTCCTGGTGTGTACAAAAACCCTGGCAGGCGAAACTTGGGTCGCTGAGGGCACCGACTGTGCACTGCAGTTTCTGGCCCACTTTAGACTCCCTAAATTCAAGAATGCAACCTTCATTGCTCACAATGCCAAGGGTTTTGACAGCTATCTCATTATCAATGCAATGATTGAACAAGGGTTAAAACCATCTTTGGTAATGCAGGGAAGTAAAGTGATTTATTTTACTGACCAAGATTTCAGACAAAAGTACATAGATTCTCTGTCTTACCTCTCTATGCGGCTGGCTGCAATGCCCAAAGCTTTGGGGTTCGAAGATAAAACCAAGGGGTATTTCCCTCACGGTTTCAGCTCTAAGGCCAATCTGAGTTATATCGGACCTTACCCACCAGCACACTGTTATGGGATTGAACGCATGACAACTGATGAAAAGAGTGACTTTTTCGCATGGTATGAGACGGTACGCACGGGTACTTTTGATTTTCGAAAGCAGGCATTGCTTTACTGTAAAAACGATGTCGACATTCTTGCACAGGGCTGCACTTTATTCCGAAAAGGATTCCTTGAAGAGACTGGTGTAGATCCTTTTAGTCGTGCGACCATTGCTTCGGCCTGTATGAAAGTTTTCACCACAAACTTTCTGCCTCCAAAAACCCTAGCCATCCCCCCGCCCGATGATTACCGTCGTGAAAACAAGACATACTCCAGCGCTGGTATCCAGTGGTTAGATTGGGTGGCTCATACTGAGGGGGTATTTATTCAACATGCGTTGAATGAAGGTGAGAAACGAGTGGGACGTTTCGTCGTAGATGGTTTTGCTGAAGTTGAGGGAGTAAAGATTGTCTGGGAATTTCTTGGGTGCTTTTATCACGGCTGTCCGTCGTGTTATAAGGGGCATGAGAAAAACCCCCTGACAGGTGGCACATTTGAACGGCTCCATGCAGCTAGTGAGGAAAAGCTGCATGAGCTACAGTCTGTTCACGGGGCCAAAGTGATCGTTATGCGAGAGCATACATGGGGTGAGATGAAAAAATCCAATCAAGATTTGCAGGCTTTCCTCAGGGATTACAAAGCTCCAGAACCGTTGACCCCCAGGGCTGCTTTATACGGGGGAAGAACGTGTGCAGTGAAGTTGAGGTACACGGCAGCGGCAGATGAATTGATTCATTATTGTGATTTCACCTCCCTGTACCCCTTTGTAAACTGCACAGGCCTCTACCCGCTAGGCCACCCTCAGATCATCTTCCGAGATTTCAAAGATCCTCAGAGTTATTTCGGGTTAATCAGAGCTACCGTAGAACCTCCCAGGGGTCTTTACTTTCCAGTTCTGCCTTACAAAACTGCAGCGGGTAAACTTGTGTTCACCCTCTGTCGTACATGCGCTGAGCTTAACAACCAACAGGGGCCCTGCACGCACAGCAAAGAGGAAAGAGCATTAACAGGAGTATGGGTGACAACAGAATTCAACAAGGCTCTGGACATGGGTTACAAGCTGACTCAGATCACAGAGGTGTGGCATTTTGAGAACAAAAGTGACAGCATTTTTGTAGATTATATACACACATTCTTGAAGGGTAAACAAGAAGCATCTGGTTATCCTTCAGAAGCAACAGATGATGAGAGCAGACAAAAGTATGTGACAGACTACCATGCTAATCAAGGCATACAGCTCGACGCAGCTAAAATCACATCAAACCCAGCCAAAAGACAAGTGTCAAAGCTATGTCTCAACAGTTTCTGGGGTAAATTTGCTCAGAGAAGCAATCTGACACAGACTAAGATTGTGACCAAACCAGAAGAATTTCTTAACCTCTTGTTTTCAGCTAAACATAAGGTTAAGTATTTCTCATTCACCAATGACAGGACAGCTCTGGTCCAATGGTGTTATGACGACGATGGTCACTCCCCTCCCAACAAGGTGGATAACATATTCATTGCAGCATTCACCACGGCCTATGCCAGGCTAAAACTGTACAGCGAATTGGAGAAATTGCAGCACAGAGTCTTCTACTACGACACAGATAGTATCATATATGTAACAAGACCTGGAGAGACTCCACTTCCGATGGGGGTTTATCTGGGGGATCTTACAGACGAGCTGGGCGGTGATACAATCAAAGAGTTTGTTTCTGCAGGTCCTAAAAGTTATGCATACCAAACCAAAAATCAGAAAAAGGTTGTAATGCGAGTGAAAGGGATTACACAGACGCATGAGTGCTGTGAACGGGTGAACTTTGACAGTCTTACAGAGCTGGTGGAAGGCTACGTTCAAAACACTGAGAGGGGGCGGGTTCTCGAGGTCCCACAACACAACATTGTACGAAATAAAGAGGGTTTCGTTTTGAGAAATGTGTCATTCACCAAAAAGTTCAGAGTGGTGTTTGATAAAAGACGTCTGTTAGACGGAGGAGATACTTTGCCTTTTGGGTATTGAGAAATAATAAGAAGAGACAAAATGTTTTCACCTAGCCAAATTGATTTTGAACCCAGACTGCGTGTCCCTTTTTCATGTATAATAGTAGGACCCAGCGGGTGTGGAAAAACTTTTTTTGTCAAGAATGTATTGCAAAATTGTATTCATGTAATGGATGTACAGCCTCAAAATATTGTATGGATTTATACTTCATTCCAGCCCATGTACGCAGAACTGCAGGAACAGAATAAAAATATGAAATTCATCAAAGGTCTGCCTGAATCATTTGAAGATGAATCTCTATTTCCTCCTGATCAAAGTCATTTGATTATACTGGACGATGTTATATTTCAAGCCTCGGAGCATCCGGAAGTAGTCCGACTTTTCACCCAATACCGCCATCACAGAAATATGAGTGTTATGATGCTCACCCAAAATGTGTTTCATCAGGGGAAGAATAGTCGAACAATTAGTCTGAATACTAATTACATGGTCTTGTTTAAAAACCCCAGAGACAGATTACAGATGAATATACTTGCACAGCAAATATACCCTGGTAATAAATCATTTTTCCTACAAAGTTTTGAGGATGCCACCAAGGACCCCCATGGATATTTAGTCCTGGACCTGACCCC